ATTAGTTGGGGGGCCCATCACAAGGTTGTCAAATTCCGGAACTCACCAATTTGAGGGGACGCTGCCTTTAATCTCCACACAGCTGACAAGTGATCATGTAGACCCGCGACTCCAAGCAATCACCTGACCTCCCATATGGACATATAGCGCAATGTGGACTTGGGCATAAGCGGTCGTATGCGCGATTACGTACCAATTGCTTTTTAAGGGAGGGGGTGGGATATCTACGACCCTAACGTGCTCTTCAAGCCCCGCGTGGTGTAAGCTTCTCCTTATGAGAAAGGCGACGACGCCGAAACATCAGCCGTAATAAGGTTATATTACCAATCTTGGTAGCAGGCTGAAGAAAAACATAGCAGTGATCTAAGCCCATGAGTTTGTGCATTGGTACAATGCAGGCCTATAATAATTTCTCACCTGTAAGCACCAGACTCGTGTACGGGTAGCTATCTACACAAACCTACCTTGCAACTAACTGTTCATCAATCGTGAAGATCCGATTACCCTGACCACCATCGACGCTCCATTCATATACCATAAATCCTTCGTTATCTTCAGCTATGCTGACATGTGTGTATAGACGCTAGGCGGTGATTAAATTATTTGAAGTTGGTGCTAATTACAACGCTACTTACCTGCGCCAGCTCCGCCTGTAGCTGCCTAAGATTCTTGACAGCCACATCTGGAGGCACTCCAACTGCCACACCTATCATGTTTTCATCAGTGCCAGCGAAGTTCTTGGATTGCTGAAGTTCTTGTTCAATAACAAAGGACAGAAGTAAATGGACCCAGACACACTTCGCAGTCACCACCATCGTATCCACACTCTGCACCGGCGCAATCTTCATCACATTTGCCGTCTCCATATTTATAAGCACAATCAGCTGGATTTCTAAATCAGCTAAGAGCAGAATTACCGTGATTCATAAACCTTTATCTGCCCAGCGTTCCCGTGCCAGCGCCTTACAAGACTTCGATTTACGTAAATGCTGGCACGGCTTAGGTACGGCGCTAACACGTGCTAGCCATGGGCAACTCTGGACGCAACCTTAGACATACTTCACCTGCATGCCATACCATTGCGCTCTGCGCAGTCAAAACCATCGAAAAGGCAAGACTCCCGGTTGCAAATCTCATCACACCT